CTGGGCATTCCATTTCACGGGCCAGCAAGCTTTCAGGGAGTTTTCTTGGGTTGTCCAAAACTAAAGCTAAGAAGCAGTTCTTTGGATGTGAACAACTGTCTTCTTTTTTTTCTTCCATCTAACGCAATCTCTAAAAGAAGTTCTTTGAAATAATTTTTCGAGGAAATTAGCGGGGCGAGCTTTACAACAAGATTCATGCCACATTAATTCATTTCAATTTTGACAAAAACTTAACATATTAAAACTAATCAATAAAAACAAGCTCGATGCATTCTTTTTTTGGAGAGAGATGAGTTCAGTCTTAATCACAATTATGTTAGAAATTAATGATTATTCCTCGGAGTGTGTTCTGAATTTGGAGAGATTATTACGTCCGTCATCCGGACACAGAGGCCGTGATACAGCGCAGCTCGGCATCCGGGCGAGAGATGTAAAAATTTTTCCTGAATTTGGATCTTAATTGGATGCAATTCATAACTACATGAGATTACTAAGTTTTTTTTCTATTATCTCTTTTTTTAAGTGCAAGTACTTTGATATGTATAAATTTGAAGCGATAGGTGAGGCAACCGAGCTTTGATTGAGTTGAGCTAAGTTGAGGACATCATGCATTAAGTTTGATTCGACTATACTTAACTGTATAAATGAGTCGAACTTAAGGGAGTCTAAGGCTTGTTCGTCTTCAACTCATTTGATTTATTTATTTTTTTTTTTGTTCGTGTTCATAATGTGTTCAAAATAACTTGTGAATTGTCTATTTATATTCGAGAGCGGGGCGAGCTTTACAACAAGATTCATGCCACATAAATTCATTTCAATTTTAACAAAAACTTAACATATTAAAACTAATTAATAAAAACAAGCTCGATGCATTCTTTTTTGGAGAGAGATGAGTTGAGTCTTCATCACAATTATGTTAGAAATTAATGGTTATTCCTGAGAGTGCATTCTGAATTTGGAGAGATTATTACGTCCGTCGTCGGACGTAGAGATTATTACGTCCGTTGTCTGGACGCCAAGCTGCATCTGGGCGACGGCCGTGATACAGCGCAGTTCGGCGTATACAGCGCAACTCTGCATCCGGGCGAAGGACGTAATAATTTTTCCTGAATTTGGATCTTAATTGGATGCAATTCATAACTACATGAGATTACTATGTTTTTTTCTATTATCTCTTTTCTTAAGTGCAAGTACTTTGATATGTATAAATTTGAAGCGATAGGTGAGGCAACAGAGCTTCGATTGAGTTGAGCTAAGTTTAGGACATCATGCATTAAGTTTGATTCCACTATACTTAACTGTATAAATGAGTCGAACTTCCGGGAGCCTAAGGCTTGTTCGTCTTCAACTCATTTGATTTTTTTCTTTTTTTGTTCGTGTTCATAATATGTTCAAAATAAATTGTGAATTGTCTATTTATATTTGGCTCAATTCAAATTTTTATATTCCAATGAAACTTATGTTATGCTCGAAATAATGACAGCTTCGAAGTGTTGAGGCTCGAGTCAAATTAAAGAGTAAAATTGACTTTTGTAGAAGGGAGATTAATTATTTAAAAAGGATGAGTGATTTTCTTTATCAAAATTTGCCATGAGGGATTAAATCAACTCAGTGAAAGAAGGTTTTGTCATTTAGATGCACACCATGCAATTCTTATTTATTTACATGTTAAAATAGATTTTTTTTTTGCGAGCCAGGCGAAAATATTTTTCATTTTCACTCATGCCACCAAATTCTTATGTGTACACATTTTCAAAAAAAAAATTTATTTTTTATTTACAATCATAGCTAAAATTATTTAAAATTAATAAAATTTAATGTTTTTAAAATATAATATATAAATTTAATATATAAATATCTAATATTTTTTAATTAATTCGACCCAAATCGAGTCAAACGCAAACTAAGAAATCTTTTTTCGTGCTCAGCTTGTTTATATATCGAGCTCAGACAACGAAGGAATCCAACACGAGCTGTTCTTAAACAACGACCTTTTTCGACAACCCTAACTATACTAACTTTGTTCATATTTAGTTTGGGCTGAGCTTTAAAATGTATGTTTGTATTTTGCTTGTATAGGTATTTTTATATATATAATAAAGCTTAGCTTGTATTTAGCTTATTTTTGGCTTATTTAAATTAATTGAGTGTGCACCTAAATGCGCCAATAAATAAGCTCAAAATTTGAAAAATATGTGCTTTAATTGTTATATTAACAAACAATTGTGTGCGTCTTAATTTATAAGCAATTCAATAAATATGAAATTAATGCTTAAAATTTTGACACCAATTAAACAATAATCAATACAATAGGTTAATAAGAAAATCAAAATATATTTTCTTGTAATTCATAAATTAATAAAGTGCTAGAAAATTTAACTGCTCATTGGAATGAGTGAACAAGAAAATAATAAATCAGTTTAACTGCTCATTGGAATGAGTGAACAAGAAAATATTAAATCAGATATATATATATATATGTAGATTCACTAATAATGAATTAATGAGTTTGAAAATATGAAGAAATCTAGCAAAAAATAAATGTAAATATTTACAAAAATAATTTAAAGGTATTGTTTTGAATACTTGCTTACACTACATAAAAAGGTTGTATCATGCTATCATGCTATACTATAGAGTTCAATATGATTTGCAACAATTGAGAATGTCAACAAAGAATCAAATGCTTCAATTTCACTCTTAAAAAGATTCCATCATATTCATATATAACTTATAATTATTGCATTTTGCCTTTTTCAACGCACTTTTTCTATTTTATGGCTTTGTAGTCTTTTCAAATTCCTCTTTCTTATTCTAGTTTTAGACTAGTCTATTGATTATCATTATTAACAATTTTCACAACTCTTCACCCAATTTGCAATCACGATTATCATAATATATACTTATCATTCATGATTTGACCAGCCAGAAAGGTTTAACACTAGAATGTACACCCAAAATATATGATCTTATCGAGCCAGAAGGATCACGCAGTTGGAGCCGCGCCAGCAACCACAAACCTGCAGAGCCAATCATTGAGACCGGTCACACGAAGAACCAGCTACCTCAACCAGCTTGCCATCATGGTCGATTGCTTCTAAAAATAGGAAATTTACATACCATACAAATCTCGCTGGCCAACTAGCCTTCCAGCCAGTAGTTGGCCGCACACCTCAGCCATCTACTCGCGAGATGTATAGCTGCCCTACCTCCTAAAAACAGAAAATTTACATACCACACAAATCATGTTGCCCCCCTTGTCTTCCGACCGATCCCCTCACCCCTCTGACCGGTCATCCACTGGTCGGCTGCCTCTACTCCGGCCAACCGCCAATTTGACCGGCTACCTCCTAAAAACAGAAGATTTACAGTGATACCACTCAAGTTTTATATTAATAAATATATAAATACAATTTAAAGGAAGTATTTATGTGCATACCAACCAATCCATTGTCTTGACGTATCTAAAACTAAACATTGTTATGTTATTTCCCGACTCGTTATGTTCACCATTAGGCCACCTGAGCCGGCCACTCGAAGCCAACAAGTCCAGTTGTGGGAAGCTCCAGGAGGATTGATCTAAGCAAGAAAAAAACCAAAAAATCTCCTCGCTATTTTCCTTTAAACAGAGGAACAAATGTTATATCCCCCTCCCCTCTTTATTTCTCTATTAAAAGAGGACTGACCCCTTACTTGTAAAAGGGGTCCATAGGGCTCTCACTCTCTCACCCCCATGTAGGGAGCTTGCTCCCCTTCTCCCTCACTTATAATTGAATCTTGTGCATAATAATAAGGGGCACTGAACCTGGGCACCCCCTCTATGAGCCAACCCCCCTCCCCCACCCCAAAAGAAAAAAATGGGGCAAGCTTGTTTCTTTCTCTCCCTCTCTTTCTTCTTCCCTCAGAATCCGGCTCTATTCCTTGGGTATGATTCAAATGACAGATTGGAATTCGACAAGAAACTATATTCAATTAAATGCAAATCTATAGCTAGAAGTTTAGTTGTAAACTATCTAAATCATGAGATGAAGCACTAGATATATCTATCATCTAACACTGCTCAATTAAAAGTTTTATATATTATTATGGCAAATTAATAAATCATAACAACATCATGTTAGCAGTTATTGTCATACAACACACGATAAATTAAAATTATTTTTGCATGGGGACATGTTAGGATTAAAAATTGAATCTTACAAAATATGTTATATGAAATATTCTATGTGATTTGTTTATTTTTTATTTAATTTATAATATCATAGACACTTAAAAACTAAAAAAATTCCTTGCAAAATACATAAATAATCAATGTTTTTGTGCTTAATAAATAAAAGAAAGAACATTACTCAGTTTGTTTTGCACTATGAGCGCATATTTTGGAGATAAATATTATATCAATTTCAAATATAATATATTAATATTAAATAAGTAAATAAATAAACTAAATTTAATAAAATTTGAATTAATAATGCATAAGGCACTATCGGGCTTAACATCAATCCTTTAATAACTTACTTATCAAACAGCAAATTAGTTTATTTACAACTATAAATAAACTAATTAAATTGTATTTACATGTGATAAATTTAATCCTTAAACTTTTAAAAGCACTCAAATCTATTTGAATGTGAATGAATTTGAGTATGTATTAACTAAGCCGAAAGCTATATAGATTGATCATTTGTTTTGCTTATAAACCCTAACATAACTTAATACTTCGAAGCCCTCCAATGCAGACGAATACCCATCAGAAATGAGAAAAAATATTAAGTCTAAAGTCCGGACGTGAGCCACATCCGGACTCCCGACGTGATACAATGGAGGTCTGAGCTCCCACCTTTCGGGAACTCCGAACGTAACATCTCTTCAAGAAATGGAAATGATGGATGAGCACCAAAGTATAAACAATCACAATATGCTACAATAATCACCAATTACCGAACTGTTTCTCACAAGCACAAATTATTTCAAAATATTAATTCAATATTGTCCAATTAATTATATCAATCAATAATCATCATATCTCGGCATCTCCATGAATCATATTCCTATTATTGAACTGACCGCGTTTCTTCGATCGGCGCTTGCGCGCAACTCCCTTCATCTTCACCGCAGACTTTGTCGGACGCACAACGGGCGCTTCCGCGCAACTCCCTTCATCTTCACCGCAGACTTCGTCGGACGCACAACGTGCCCTGTCCTTCCAAACTTCTCCTTCTCCCCCTCCACAATTTTACAGTCCGGGAAACTGACCGGGTATCTCACCTCATCATAACAAAAACTGTAAGTCATATACTCTCGTCTGAACTGCATCATGGTTTCATACTTGTGCTCCAACATCACCGAGTAGTCTGCAGCTGCAGTTTCCATCTCTGCTTCCCGGCACTGCACGGCGGCCGGCAACTGCTGTATGGGATCGAGACGGCAACCCTTGAGGATGAGGTTTGAGAACTCGCTGACGAAAGGCGCGTATTTGTAGTTCACTTTGTGTTTTCCGCCTGAAGTCGCCCAGTTGGAGCCGTCCCAGATTGTGGCGTAAATTAACATTGGTTTTGATGGGTAGTCTCCACGCATTGCTTCACTTCTGGTCACCTCTCTTATTGGTATTTCGTCAATATAAAATCTGTCTCGATGTTTAAATGTGATTAGGACATGCTATTATGCATGATGATTGATTAAGAAACGCAATTAATTAAGAAAAATGTTTTATTTAGTGGTGAAGTGAGTCGTATTAGCAGTTAAGTCATTAATCAACCTTCTTGGGAAAAAATATTAGGTCAGGACTATGAAAATAGAGCTACGTTCGGCTTGTAATTGTCATCGTGTAGGAATGTCTCGTTGTGTTGTATGAATATTCTATCAGTGTTATTTGTGAAAAATGAAGTGTTATTGGAATATTTCCCGTGTTACTTGATTTGAGTCTGTGTTATTCACATAACATAGTGGAAATTGAAATAATACGGGGAATATGCCAAATACCATAACCCCAAATCAAGTAACATGGGGGAATATTCAAATAACACTGCAAAATAATTGAATTACACCGCATAATACTCGAATAACACTTCAGTTTTTACAAATAACGCTGATGAAATATTCTTATAACATAACGGGATATTCCTATAACACAAATCTGAACAAGGGCTGTCAAAACGACTTGTTGTTTGCGAACAGCTCGTGTTCGGCTCGTTCTCGTTCGTTAAGAAACGAACACGAACAGTGCATTTACGAACAATTTCAAACACGAGCTTATTTCAAACAAACTAAATTTCAAACGAACCGAACACGAACACAAGCTCTTTTCGTTCGTGTTCAGGTCGTTTAAACCCCTACTTATCTATTTACATATCTAACACCCAAACATGCATGTTTACATGCATGTCACCCAAATCTTTAACATCACCACAAAAATATAAACCATTTCATGCATACTTTTATGAGATCAAGATGTTATAAGTGTAAATATCAAACATTGGGTGTTAGTTATGTAAATACAAAAGAATTGTGCGGTATGTATTTAAATTTCCCAAATTTTTTTCTGAGCTCGAAATATAAACGAGCCGAACACGAGCAGAGCCTGGGCTCGCTGGTATTCGGCTCGTTTACACCCCTAATCTGAACGTATCTTCACGTTCGGATACCTGACGTATTATGCGTTCATCCTCTTATTCTGGCTCATATCCAAAGTTGTTATTAGCGAACATATTCTAGAGGTAAAAGATTTAGTATAAAATTTTAGAAAATGGTCAGAGTGTCTGATCGCAATATTTTAATTTAGAAATATGATAAAAATGCATAAGGATTGAGTGGCATGCATGTAAATGTTCCAAAAAGATGCGTACAAGATGGTTGCATTAGTCCAGACAATGGAGTAACGGTGGGCCTCAGCCGTGGGATCAAAAGGAAGCCGATACCGTTCCTCACGACCCCGATTTGTGCTCCCATTCCCATACACATTAGTCTGAATCCGCCATTCACGTCCCCAGAGATTTCCCAGAAACTCAAAGTCCAGCTCATCATGATTCTTCTCAAATATATCCCCATTCGACATCTAAATTGTTATCATTATCATTCCAATCATCTCATTTTTCAAAATAAATAAATAAAATTTAGCCCAAAAAAAGGAAAATATTTACGTATCTAAGACGTACGCAGTGCTGCGTACGCTGAAAGTTATTCAGAGGGTACAGAGGGTTATATCCGCATTATACCATTTATAGGTTACAAATAAGTTATATGGACGTTGCAGGGGTATAACGCGGATATAATCTTCGTGTACCCTCTGAATAACACGTTGACGTACGCATATATTTTCCCGAAAAAATAAAGAAAACGCACGTAGAACGCGACCACGACGCCGGCCGTGTAATCAGACGGCAGCTTAATTGACGCGCTGAACAAACCGTGGTAATACAAATCCGACGAAATGAATCCCGATCCTGCATTGCCAAAACGCTCAATCAAACACAGTTACGACATTCGCTGAACAAACCGTGGCAATCTCTTACCTGAACGCTGGTTAAGGAGAATCTTGACACTCCGTCCGTCTGGAGACCGCAGAAGGTTGCGCTCGCCGAACAGCGGCAGGTATCCGTCGTCGAAAGTGATTTCCGACACGTTGAATGCAGCCGCGTCTGCGGTCGCGGCCACCGCCGCAGCGGCGAAGAGGAAAGCTAACGCGATCGATGGAATCGACATCTGAATTGCGAAGGGAGAAGGAATGAATGAATGGTGTGGAAATGGAACGTTTTGGGATGGAACGACGGCGGAAATAAAGGAAGATAATTATTTCTGTTTTAGTCATTAAAAATAACAAAATAATGACGTGGTTTTTTTCTAATTGGAGCTGATCTGGCAACTGGCACCGTCCAATTAAAAAAGAGCACGCGACAGACCCGGCTGAGTTGTAACTTTTAATCTATATTCATTGTGAGCAATAAGTCATTTTGGATAGCTGTAACTTACCTAAAAATAAACTTCTGAATAATAATCTGATGCTCAAAAAATTATAGTGATTATTATAATTTTCTTAAGTCAGACCGTAGTTAAAAACATCTCACCACACCTAATCAGGAGTGGTGGGAAACACATGTTTCAACGACAGCTTTTACATATTTGTCTACATTCACATTTACATAATAACCACAATTCTTACGTATTTGAGTGTGCAACATCTAAATTTTCATATTTTTAAGTATATCCTTCGAATTTTTAATATTAAATAAAAAATATTATTACAATGTAAATCTAAAAGTGAAGTGAATACACATGTTCATTCATTATATTATTCATAACAATATAATGAGGTATGATGATGATGGCCATGCTCCTAGTTTGGAGTATAATGATTTGGGGATCATAGTTTATAAAGATATGCCCTAATAATATTACGCACTTCACTCCCACCGGAAAATTTTTTTGGCTTTTTAAATATATAAGAATAAGTCGCAATTTTTGGTGAAGGGAAGGGAGGGCTAGAGCAAAGTTATTTTAGGGGCAGATAAATACATACCACACAAGTCTTATGTATTTCCATATCTAAAACATAAATTTTATTTTTATTTTGCAGTCATGGCTAAAATTATTAATACAATATAAAATTTTAATTTATAAATAGTATACTATTATTTTTTATTTTTTAATTAATTTGAGCCAAATGGAGTTTACTGACAATAGTGACAAGGTCTACCTGTAAGCCTCAACGTGACTTACCCGAGACAATGACTTAACTAGAAGTTATTATTTATACTGGATTGATAAAAAGTATATGACTGAAACCAAAGCATTCATGTTAATAATTCACACAAATTGTTGTGATTAATCACACATAATAAAGACAGAAAATATGACATATTCAAAGCCATACAAAAAATACTAATAAGGTAAATTGCTTTCAAAAGTTTAAATAAAAAATATATATACTCTTATGTACACAGATATAGAGAAAAAAAAAAGAGTGACACTTAAGCATTTGTAAAAGACTCTTCTTGCTAGTCTTCCTCATCATCAATTCATATGATTTAGTACAAATAAACAGGAAAATAATCTTACTTGGCTACGGTTTCTTCTTTGTGACTTGGTTACCGGCACATTCTTTGAACTGCAGCAAATCTCAAACACTGATGATGGGGCAGTAAATTTATCAATCAAGCTACATTCATAACTTTGTTTTCCTTTCCCTTAATGTACAATACAGTAGGCACAGTAATAGTGAATCCAATGATAGTTGGTGCAACCACTTTCGAGCTAACGAGTGATACACCAAAAATATATAGTATTTTTAGATGCATTTTCATACCTATTTTTTGAGATATTGCACTTTAATCAAATGTAATTGTATGTTTTTCTTTCAGGTACAAGTAAGAAGTTGAAAAATGCTAAAATGAGTGAAAAATAATCAAATTTAGAGTAAAAATGTGAAAATTGTGCAAAAGTGTTTTGGCGCAATAGAGAAAGCCGCGCCTAAGCATCAAAGGCAGTTATGTGACGGTTTACTTCATTTTGTCGAATTTTGAAGGGACATTTGAGACACCTATTGGTTAAAGCTTATTGGCTAAAGAGGGTGGTTATGTCCACTAGAAACGAAAATATGGCTAGAAGATTTATGAAAGGAGGCATCCTTTGGAGAATACATCGAATTGGGACACATTTTAAAGAATTATCAAGACACCTCTTGAAGATTTATAAAAGAATGAAGTTGAGACTTTTTGAAGTGTGCTTGAAAGTCCTGAAATGGGGAAGTTCTGAGAAGAGTTACAGATAGTTTTGGAGAGATTTTCAGGCACTACAAATTTACTTTATCCTTTTTGTTTTTAGTTTTATTTAGAGAGTAAGAGTGTTGTAAAAGAGAAGAAACTCAAATGAACTTCAAGAGTTTGGTGGAGGATTTGAGATAAATTTTTATCTTTTGTTTTTAAACTACTTTTTGTTTTAATCGAGACTTCTTGTTGGTTTGACAATACTTTTAAACGAAAGTGTGGTTTTGTTTTCTCCATGGATTCTGAGTAGTTTTTTTTTCTTTCTCCTTAAATATTAAGTGTTTAAAGGATGCTGTGTAAAGTATTATACTTTAATGTTAGAAGAAGTTGTGATGATTTGAAATTTTGCACTTCATTTACTTCCTGATTTAGCCAATTAAGTTGTTAATACCTGTTGTGAGAATATATAAGATCTGAAATGGTATTGTTTCAGTCAACAAATGATTAGAATCACATATTGATTTCATGAATAAGAATGTAGTTCATGGGGTTAAGTGCAAATAAATAGGGAAATTTTTTTTTCAAAGGTGTAGAATTAGAGGACTTTAGAGTGACAGGCTAAAACCCCCAATTTGATTTATAATTTTAAGTTTTGATACGAGATGTTAGCCCCCAGATAGAGGGAAAAGAGAGAACTCTAGAGTGAGAGCTGATATCTTCCCTACCTAACCGGTCTTCAAGGTTATTCAAACTATAGATTAATCAATGTTCTTTATAGCATCTCTAGTAAGGGTAAAGAATATTATTACTCATATTTGACACAACACAATTTGCATACTTCCACAACAGAATTCCTATACTTTTTATTGACTCATGATAAGGAGAAAGATATTTTCATATCAAATGTTTTTCTTTTACATAAACTAAAGTTGTCTTTAGAAGCTTTATTATTTTGTCAAAATATCAAAAACACAAAAAAAAAAATTGAATTTTATCTACTTTGAATTAAAATACAAGGTTTGTTGATAAGATTGAATTTTACCTATAGTGAAAATATCTATAGTTTAAATAATTGTCTTTTTAAAATAGAAGGTTTGTTGATAAATAATGCATATTGCTTATTTTTCCTGTGGGTTCGATATTCAGGTCTTAATCAAAAAGTCCTATATTACTTGATAACAATACATATACTTGCGTAGTATCCAAATATATATATATATTAAAAAGTTAAATTTTTATTTTCTCTAGGATCAAGTTTTTGGTTCTGTTGTAAAGTAAGAAAAAATAAGTGAAAAATATCATCAAAGACATTGTTATATTGTTACATATAAACAGTTGGGATCACTTCTTCATCGAGCTTTCTCTTAAGTTCAATGTTCTCTTTAGACTTCTTATGTGAGCTCTCTAAGGTGGAATCTTTCCATTTCATCTCTTTACTAGCTCAATATAATGATAAACCAAAAGCCCAAACCCTCATTTTTTCTCAAATTCTTTCGTTCAAAGCTCCAATTGTTCTTTTAGCTGAGTCAGCTCACTTTCGAGGTATTTGCTTTTCTTTCTCTTCCAGCTATTTTATTTATGCTTGAAAGGAAGCGAGTTGCTTTGCTTTCACCTTAAATTTTATCTTTGATTGCTCCTTCCCTTTCAACAAAGCCTCTAATTTCTCTTTAATTTATTGAGATTGCTTCAGTTTAGTTTGCTCTCTGCAGAACTCACAATGTGATACACTCTTAGTGTATCCCCATTGTCAAGACAAAACCAGAATCTCCATAAATAGATCACGAAGTGCAGGAAATCCCACTATCTTGGACAACTTTATGCTCATTGAGTGGATGACTGGCCCCAACTATAGGAGCCCCTTATAATAGTCCTTCTCACTTATCTAATATTGGCTCAAATCAACCAATTCTCAAGTTTGAGACCCATTGATCATGTAAAGATGATTTCTTGTATCAAACTCTTCCCATGTGAAACCATATGCAATCACTCTTGAGGAGGTAGTGGCAGCGGCAGTGATGGTCGGGCAACAGTGTTCCGATGGTGGCGACATTGGTAGTCCGGTGATGACGATGGTAGTCCAGTGACGATGATGGTAGTCCGGTGACGACGATGGTAATTCTACGTCAATAGCAATGGATGTATGACAATGGTGGTTCGATGATGGTGGTTAGGTTGCGTCGGTGGTGGTCTGACGGTGGTAGCGGTTAGACAGCGATGGCTAGGCAATAGTGTCTAGCGGTTGCTATGGCTTGACGACAATGGCAAGATTGTGGTGGTCTGAAGAAGGCGACAATCAAACAATAGTGGTCGGGCAACAGTGGTTTAGCGTTGTCCAGTGACATCCACGATATTGCGGCAGCCAGACAACGGTGCTCCGATGGCTAGATGGAGGTGGTCTGGTGGCGGGAACGGTTGTTTGGCATGGACAATGGTTTAGTACCGGCAATGGCCAAAGACATGTGGCCGAGCATCAGGTAGTCGACGATGGTCTTATCGTGGTGGAGCTAAGGAATCTTTCCTCTCATGAAATGAGTGAGAGTTTATTTATATATTTTGTAAGTGACATTCTCTATAAATAACACATGAATTCAGTTAACTCTAATGGACATATTATCTTTTTAATTTGATTGTGTTTTATAGCATTTGAGTGCCTTCATGATGTTCGAATCGAGTGATCTTGTGCTCGTTAGATTCGACTCGACGGGAGACTCAGCTTGATTATAAGCTTGTTAGATTTGGAATACATTTGACCATTCAATTGCCCATCCAAAGTCCTAATTGCATGTCAACGACTTAATCTGGGCTTCCGAACTCGGATCAAATCAATTTTGGCTTCATCGGAGCCGCCTTGCGGTTACATTATGATTAAATCAAAACTTAGATGATCATGAAATCGTATTTGGAAATTTTCATTGCTCAAAATACTTTGAGATTCATGCATGATAATAACAATTTTTTTGATAACATATCAATTATGATTTTCAAAATAAAGTTCTAGCAATATACAAAAAAATATTCTGCAGAACCGTGAATAAAAACCTAAAGGGGAATTCA